CAGCGACCTCAGTCTGCCTGTCCCCCACCTTTTGGAGCTGGGCGTGTAGAGGGGCTCACCTGCAGTGATGTTGAGCAGCTTGCAGGCTGTCTCAATGTCCTTGAGCACCTCACCCACCACCATGGACTGCACCTGCTCCAGCGAGTGCTCTTCCAGGGTCAGCCCACCTGGCGCCAAGTCCAGGCTGCCCCCAGGGGCTTGGCTGTCGATGACAGGGCACTGCTCAGGCTCCTCAGGTGGCTCATCCCGAGTGCTGGCCCCAGGGCCCTTGGCGGCCCAGCTGCTCTCCTCGGGGTACAGCATGTCCAAGTAGGAGAGGTAGAAGGCAGATAGGCCCTGCTCAGGTGTGGCAGGTGGACTGGGGCTCCAGTCCCGTCTCTCGGGGCCCCCCACTGTTACCTTCTCCGGGCCTGTCCGAAATACAGTGTTGGGGGACAGCAGGAGGCGGCTGGGAGGCACGCTGCTCAGGCCCGGGCTGGCGCTGCTCATGCCGCTTCTGCTCAGGCCAGCGTCTGCGTCTATAGAAATAAGAGAGGAAGGAGTTAGGTTTTGGCTGAATCCCCATCCCCATGGGGGCCACTAAGCTGGTTACAAGGATGAAGGGCCCAGTGAGCAGTGGTTGGTCCTGGGAGAGAGTTGGAGCTTCTGGGTCACTGGGCAGCTTGGACAGGGCTGGGCAGACAGGACTTCTGGCTGGGAAAGAGAGTGAGGTGGGAGTTGGGGTAGGACTGTGAACGGACAGCTCCCTCACTCCCTAAGGAAGCCAGATTAGCTGGGAGCAGCAAATGTTTACAGTGCGCTTAAAACCACCTTCTGAGATTCTTGACTTCATTCAGCCCTCACAGTGGAAGGCAAGATTAGTTCCATTTGGCAGATGAGCAAACTGAGGCCTGGACAAGATGAATCTAGTATCCAAACCTCTGTTCCTCAACTGGCCCACACTCAGATCCCAGTCCACTGTGAAGGAAGTTCCTTCTGAGAGCTAACCTAAATCTTTCCTGCTGTAGCAAAGCTTATTTTCTTTCATTATGCCTTTGAAGGAAGCAGGGAAGGGAGAGGGTCACCATCATCTTCACCAGCCAGGTGAAGGAAGAGAAGAGCAAGTGAGGGGAATGGTGAGGTAGAATTCCTTCACAAATGGGGGAGTCAGCCCCCTCCCCCTCCCGAGGGCCATTTGGTGGTGTGTGAAAAAATTAGCAGCATAATGCTAATGAAGTGGTCGCTGAGCAACCACACACAGGTGTGCTGGGCCCCACCTCCCAATCAAAGCTGGTATCCACCCGTCCTCACTCTCCCCTGAAAGGTGCTGCCCCCTGGCCCCTCTCTGCTCCCAGGCCCTGGAGGAATGTGCTGCTGCCAGAGGGGATGCCCACGTGCTGACCTTCAGGTCCACTTTCCCGGAGCAGCGGGAGTTAATGAGAAGGCACAGGCGCCCAGAACGACTGAGGTCCTCAGTGACTCGGACACCCACTCCTCCCTGCTGCCCTCGGGTTCCCCAGGAGCACCATTTGGCCTCAAAAGAGCAACTACGGGCCTCCCTCCCCATCAGCCACCTAGGCTCTGCTTTCCCCAAGCCCTTTTCCCTGAGCCAGTCCTGGAGTAGGTGGTTTGGTTGAGGCAGGGCACTCTAGAGAGTTGCATACACCAAACACCAGGGTTTCTGGGATGTTTCTGTGATGCATGGGCCTGAGACTCAAGAATAAAGCAGGATGGGGTGGAAGATTACCAACAAATACATGTTCCCAATATACAGGGAACCATTCAGAGGAGAGGAAAGGAGCATGGGAACCTGTAAGGGCGAGTTTATGTGTCCTTTCTAAGGGGTGTTTATATTTGAAAGCAGAGAATCTCAGAATGTGGTGCCCAGACCAGCAGCCTCAGCACAGCAGAGAACCGGTTAGGAATGGGAATTCTTAGGCCCACTTCAGAGCAC